ATACTGAAGATAAGACACCTGTGTACATCGAAATAGTTCACCAAGAGAGTAATAAGAGAGTCCAACGACTGGGAAAACATCTTTAGCAATGACACATCAGACAAAGGCCTTATTACTAAAATCTACAATACCTTGCAAGCTCACAATAAGAAAAAAACTAACTGCCCACTGAGAAGGTGGGAAAAGGACCTGAACAGAAGTTTCACAGAGTCTGAAATCAGAATGGTCAATAAACATATGAGAAAATGTTCCCGATGATTAGCCAAAAGAGAAATGCAAATCAAAACAAATATGAGATACCACCTAACATCCTCAAAGATAGCCCAATTCAAAAAATCAAAAAGCAACAAGTGTTGGAGGGGCTGTGGTGAGACAGGAACTTTCATCCCCTGCTGGTGGACCTGTAGATATGTACAGCCACTATGGAATCGATTTGGCGATTTCTCAAACAGATGGAAATTGAGTTACCATATGACCCACCAATCCCCCTACTGGGCAGATACCCAGAAAAGGCAAGAAACAAACCATGGCCAGACATCTGTGCTCCAATGTTCATCGCGGCACAGTTTGCAACTGCAAGGACTTGGAAACAACCCAAATTTCCATCAACCGATGAATGGATTAAAAAAGTGTGGTACATACATACAATGGAGGACTATGCACGCTAAAAAGCAGTGATGAACGTATGAAACACATTGCCACATGGGAATAACTGGAAGAAATTATGCTAAGCGAAGTAAGCTAAGCACAAAAGGACAAGTACAACATGAGTCTGTTGAGGTAGGCTTAAAAAAATGCAAAAGGGGCATAGGGAAAAAGCTACTGTATACAAACATTGCTGGAGTGAGGTCCAGGCAGTATGACAGGGGCCATACCAAATCCAGGGATACATATGGTAGCCAACAAAAAAGGAAGGGGGGAAGAAGAAAAAAAAAAAAGAAATGGGTAGTTGGGGAACAGGGCACTAACCCACTCAAGGGGAAGGTATTGTTTATATCTCCACAGGGAAAGAGGGACCACACTTCAAATCGGTGCTCCAAGATGTGAAAGCAACATACCTTGGAGTAGGGAACCAGTGGCGAGGTCTGAGGGGCTAGCCCCAATCCCAACTACGTGGACACCTGGCCCTCCCCACAGAAGAATTTATTTCAGAGGACAGCACTGAAGCAGACAGCACTGAAGCTGCAGCTCAGGGAGAGGGACATGTCTGATCAGAGCACATGGGAGCAAATGAAGGGGAAAGAAGAGAGAGTGGAGCACATCCTGGCTCACAAAGCCTTGAGGATGATATTCCTGCCCAGAGGAGTCAATCCACAGAGAAGACCATATGGCCAGCACCACTATGAGACACGACATCCCTCACTGACCCATAGTCCTGCAGGGGACAACACTGGCAATACAGTGTGGTAACTGTGCCCAATCTGATCCCCCCACACTGAGGCAAAACACTAAGGGTGTGCAACAGAACAGCAAGGGGAACAGAGCAATGAAGTCACCAGGGAATACCAAAAATAGACTTTGGAGCCAGGAGTTGGGACCCCATCAGACTCAACCAGAAAACACTCCTAAAGGCCAACAAACAGTCCTTGAACTAACTACAGGCTTTTCTTTGTTGTTGTTGTTTGTCATTGGCTTTTTGTTGTTGATGATGTTTTGTTTTCTTTTGTTGCTTTGTTTTGCTCTGTCTTGTTTTTGTGCATGTTATTATCTCTGCAGGTCTGCCTAAATAAGGTAGGCTGGATGAACAATCTGCAGGAGAAAATAATGGGACTGATGGTTCTGGGTGGGACATGGGTGAAAGGGGGGTGGGGGGGAAGGAAATGGGACAAGGGAACAACAAGTGATCCAAATCGGTGGTGGGGGTGGTGGTGTAGGAGGCCTGGTAGGGTGTGATCAAGGTTAATGTAACCGAGAGGAATTTCTGAAACCCAAGTGAAGGTTGAGCATGATACTAGGACAAGAGGAAAGTAAAAGGAAATAGATGAAAGAAATAGGAGGCAAAGGGCATTTATAGAGGTCTAAATACAGACATGTACATATGTAAATATATTTATATATGAGCATGGGGAAATAGCTCTATGTGCATATATTTATAGGTTTCATATTAAGGTTGCAGATGGACTTTGGGCCTCCATTCAAGTACTCCCTCAATGCAAGAATACTTTGTCCAATTAAACTGCCATTCCATGATGATCACGTTCCTGGCAGGATTACTGAAGACAAAGCGGATGCATAAGGAAATGTGGCAAAGAAAGCTGATGGAGCCCAGCTATAAAAAGATATAAGCTCTGGGGTCTTAAAGACTTGAAGGTAAACAAGCAGCCATCTAGCTCAGAAGCATAAAGCCCACATGGAAGAAGCATACCAGTCTGTATGATCATGAGGTGTTGAAGGGATCAGATATCAAACATTAGAGAACAAAAAAATCAAATCATTGTGAATGAGGGGAAGTGCAGATTGGGGATGGAAGACCCATTTGTAGGTAACTAGATTGAATTTTTCCTACATAATTTATATTATTATATTATAAATGAATAGTACTAGTTTCTTAAAACTTCACTTGGAAAATTTTAACTTTCCTAAAATTATATTTTGGGCCATTTTTTTTTTTGGCATGTACAAAGAGATATATAATACTTTTAAAAAACCCAAAAAACAAGAAAACCCAGGGTTCCATTTAAATATACCCTGGGTGGTCAGACACTGCTTCCAAGGCCACCTATGTTCTGCAAAGGTCAAGGGACACAGGGCAATGTCCCGGTGGGCAGGTAGCGATTGTGGGTGTGGTGAGGTCCAAAGCCCCATCCCTGTACAGCATTTTGGCTGCAGACAAAGAGGGCGGGGCCTGTTCTGGGGATCTAGGTTCCCAAGAGTGGCCTCTTGGTCTGGAGTGTTGGCCCCCAGTGACCCAGCTCCCGGGGTGTCCCAGTGGCCAGAAAGCATCCTCTCCTGGAAACCTTTGTGTTTGCCCATGTTGAGGACAGCAGGGACTGTGGTCCATGGTCATGTGCTGGGGGCTTGGTGTATGTCACTGCTGGTGGCTACAGCCAGACACGCCCCTTGTTGTGCTTAGTTGCGGCAGTGGGAAGGAAAGGGGACAAGTGGAAAGTGGGGAATGTTGTAGGGGAGGGGGAGGGCTGGGGGGAGGTGATGGTGGTGGTGGAGAGGCAGTGACTGGGCTGCAGGGGGTTAATGAAACAGAGTGGGAGGCTGGGCCTGGGACAGACCAGGGCCACAGAGCTGTGCACAAGGGATGGAGAGAGACTCTGGCAGGGTGGTTGCAGGGGCCCCTCCCCTCCCTGGGAGGTAGCTGCTGCTTGGAGACTAAGCACTGGGTGGGGCCCTAGGAGACCCCTGTCAGTAACAGGCTGTGGAGGAAGCCGCGTGGAAGGCATTAAAATCAAAGGTATAATATAACCCACTCTCCCCTAAGGTAGGGGCCTCTGGGCAGGTGGGACAAGCCCTGGGTTGAGGACGGAGGTGGAGGGCCCTGGACTGGGAAGGAGGGGCCCAATATAGCCCCAGAGGGCTAGGTAGGTAGTGTTTCAGACCCACCTGGAGGTCTGACTGGGCTGGGGGTAGAGAGTGAGCAAGAGGCAGATGGCCACACCCTAAAGGCCAGCTATAGTTGGGTATGGGAGGCTGGTAAACTGCCCTGATTAGGTCAGGCAACACAGGCTTCGGACAATACCTGGGAAGACCCTGAGAGGCCAGTCCTGGGGCGGGCAGGGAGGGGAACCCCAGTAGGCAATCACTGCAGGCCGCACCAGCACCTCCAAGTAGCTGAGCAGAAAGAAGCTGCACTGGCCTTGGTGTGTGCCTCCCTACAGCTCTCATCCATCTGGTTGGTCAGCGTGATAATGTCACCCCCGCAGAAAGCCAGTTCACCGTCCTTCTCTGGCTTGAAGTCCTATAGAGCCTTGCAGCTTCGCTGGTCCAGGGGTGGCATAACTCTACTGGGGGTCCAGATGGGCTTCTCAGAAGACAGGAAGGATGGAGACGCTGAGATCTTGGGGGCTGTGGCACAGGGGAGGCCCCTTTTGGATTGCTCCGCCTTGTCCAGGTCATAGGACTTCTGGGGTTTAGGCCTGAACTCCCGTTTGGGGCAGGGAGATGACCTGTCAGTGGGAATCCAGCTACGTGTCTCCCAACACCGAGAGCTGGCTCACCTGCTAAATATCGGTCTCTAGGAGGTTGTGCAGGCTGGTCTCAGCCACCTCCTTGGATTCCTTGAACTTGCCAGGCCTGGCACAACTCCTGTTGGGGATCTTGCACTGCCACTTCTTGTAGTCCAAGTCCAGGTGCCGGCCCTACAGCTTCTTCAGGTGGTGCTGGACCTCTTTAGGTCCTTGTCACACAGGTTCTGGAGGGGCTCAATGAAGTTCTGCTTGACCTCGATGTCCAGCGGGTCCTTCACTCAGCCAGTCGCTTTGTGGACTCTCCTGCATCCAGCAGGGCATCACCGAAGTTAAGATTTGCCACCCAGCTCCCTGCCATGGTGTGTCATCCACTTGCCCCTGGCTCCGGATCTTGGACACCATGTTGAGTATCGTCAGCTTGGCTCACCAGGGTGTTAGGCTGGAGGTACTCGATGGTTCTGACCAGCACCTCCACCATGGCTTGCTGGTGACGTTCACTTTCTTTTCCATCTCCTTGAAGTCATCGTCAAGCTTGGTCCCCTCAGCTCCTTCGATCTTCTCGCTGACAGGCTGGCTTGCCTTGTAGAACTGCTTCTTCAGCCCTGCCACCTACATACTGCCTCCCACCTCAGCGCTGCCTCTGCTGTACTCTGTTCAGCCCCGCGCCTGGCAAATTATTTTTCTTTACAAGCAAGTCTTTATTAAATGCTGAACGAACAATTGTTAAGCCTGAAATGAGAATTCAAAAATTTAAATGCAGACACTCTGACTTTCTTTCCCCATGTCCTTCTGATATTATAAAATACGGTGAATGGTTAGACTTTGCAAGTAACCCTAGACAAAATGCACATAGCACACAAATATTTTCATTTATTTATTTTCATATAAATTAACATTCTAGAAAATTTGAAATAGAAACACTAAATAGAGTATTGCACATAGCAATCTTTGTTAAATGCCCTATTATTTCATAAAACAATGGTAATATACAGTGAGGAGACCGGAGAGGCTGGGAAGAATACAAAAGGACAACAAAAACAATTAAACACCTAAATGAAAGTCACCATACTTTATATAAATTCAGAAATGCTGATGACTCAGAATAGTTTTTCTTTTTAAGTAAGTTCTCATAGTTGGTTTACAACAGCCATAATGTATTCCTTTATCTACACCATAACTCCCAACAAATATCATTACAATGGTCTTTTTAAAAAAATCAATGCTAAACAAAACCACTACAATGCCTCATGGGCTGGTTTTAATGTACAGTCATAAGGATGTGAGATTTTATTTCTTACATTTTTTTCCTTTATGAAGTTAAATCAAATCCTTTTCTTAATTCCTTCAGATGATAAATCACGACATCCTCATTTCACAGCTTTGAATCACCTGCCATAATACATAACAAGGGCATTTCCTGTATTTTCTATGTCCAACTTCAATCATGTAAAAATAGTCAGCTATATTTAACTCTTTCTGTTTAGATCTCATTCAGCAAAAACATGGTTTTCCAAATAATTACTTTTGTTTGTAAATTTTATGCTATAATGTATTTAAATTCCTTTGAATATTGGAACATATTTTCTTTGTGAAGAGTAATGGTAAAAGTTATGAATAAGTACATCTTTAATTTCTTACTTCTGCTAATGATTAGCTCTTTGTAGGGTCAAAAAGTATATATTCTGACTAGGACCCTCATTAAACTTAAAACTGACTTTTGACTATATTAAATACTTTATTAGGAAAGGATTTTACTTCTGCTATGCTCTTTTTCTATTAATTATCTTACTTGAATAAAGTAAAATATGATAATCTTCCTTTCAGAAATATTTAGCTATGGAATAAAACCAAAGAGTTGGGAAAGTGTTGATTATGTAATAGAAACAGTTCATAAACTTTAAAATAGAAAATGTACATGTTATGTGAAACCAATACAAACAATTCACCAGAAATAACATTTTACCCATAAATCTAAAAGCAGTGATGTGAAGTACAGGTTGTTACAGAGAGGAATGTGTTTTGCTATGATAAGGAATGGTCTCACAAAAGTGAATTTTATTTGAATGTTTAGCATGTTCAGAATTAATGCAGATACTGCCTTTCCTACATGCTGTTTTAGTCTATTGGTATAATACCATAAACTTTTACACAAAGAAAAGGTGTCAAAATTCATCACTTTTCGACTGCTTTTTTATTTTTTATGAATATATAGCAAGATTTAACAACCAGTGAACAGCTCAAAAACCATGCAAAAGGTGAAGAAGAAAATGGTTAGAATGATGTAGTCTCCTTCCTGCTATCAGTCAGGTCAGCTGAATTTGGGGGAAGTGGTTACATGACTAGTTTCCATTCTGCTTTTTCACTGTTCAGGTTTTCATGCTTATCTTTGCTTTCTGAAAATAAAAATACCAAAATAAGAGTTATAGTTGGAAAAACAACACTTAAAAATGCACTCAAGTTACATACACAAGTCATTTCTATTTGGATCAACTTCTCTAGGAACAGGATATAGATCCGCCAGCATACAATGGGGAAAGAAAATAAACAAACAAACACACACACAATCCACTTTACTCTTTAGATTTTTCACGAAGATAACCTGTCAACATTTTGAGGGGAGAAATAAGTCCCTGATAAAGAATGTGAACTCTTCTCATCCTAAGTATCCACTGTTGTTGGGTAAGACTGAGTCAATGCTGATCCACAGGACAGAGTAAAATCACCCCCAGAGAACTGCCAAGGCTGAATTGATTATGGAAGTTGGACACCATGTCTGTTCTCCTGTAAGGATGCTGCTGAGCTTTCAGTTAGCAGTCGAGCAGTTGCTTATGGTACCATCAAGATCTTCATGCATAAATATAAAAATTACGGTAAACTGGCTGATTTATGTCATGGTGAGTACGCCATAATTCTCTGCTGTCCTTAGAACAGCATGAGAGAGACGGAATAATAATTGTTTCTCCCCATTCAATATCTCTTCAGAATTATACTTTAAGCAAAAAAGAGTGGAAAATAAACTAACCCACAAATAATAAAACATTTGCCATTAGATAAAACTTATTTTGATGTAGAGAAATTGAAGGGCAAATAGCTTTTAAATAAAAATGCAATTCTTAACTATTTTCTAAATAAGGCTATTTTATTATAACTCAATTTGTATTATCATAGTATCCATTTAGACTATTCAAATTCAAAACACTCCAATTTTAAGGCTCAACTGAACTTTTCATTTAAAACAGCATGATTTACTTATATTGTGGCAAGTGATAATCTATGCAAAACATTAAGCACATTTTATAAAGTATCACCTGGGAAAGAAAGCAAGCAAATTTAGGTAAACTGTTCCCTCTAATGGTTGCATTTCTTGGCTCTTATAAAAAGAAAGAGATATGCAAGGGGGAAACTTAGGTTAGCTTTATAAATTCATGCTGACAATTATTAAGCAGCCAACTTGTAGAGAGCCCTTTATGGCTATGGGCCAGCTCTGAGCACCCTAGGCAAACCTGGACAGCACCATACCTGGCATTTACCATCATGTGTTAGATCCCAATGGAGATAATCCAATTATAATGTCCACTCGGGCTTCAAATGCATGTATATCATGAAGAAATTGAAACTGTTCACCCTCCTCACAATATGCACATGTCCACATGCACACACATTCTTAGATTTATTATAATTCTTAAATTATGAATATTAAGATTAAGAATTTTTTGTTCCTGGGCCAATATAAAATTAAGGAAAGTAGGCTTTATAGCAGAATCTATTTAATGATTCAAATATAATAGACAAATAATTAAAATATTATTTTATGAGTATGTAAACATTAGAGCATTTAAAAACAAATAAACCTCACAAATTAAGAAAAAAATAAAATACTTACAATTCCAGAGTCATGTCTTGGCTTTATTTTATATAATAATTTTCCCTTTTTCTGCCTGCACACGTCTTCAGCTTCTTTTACTCTGTGGGGGAAGAAAACACGATTTAAATATAAAAACATACATAGTTCACTGTAATCTGCCTCACAGCTGATGAGCAGGTGAATTTTATGATTAGAGAAAATAATGCTAAATATATAAGAATGCTATCTGACAATTGATTTCAAACCATAGGATGTTAAAGTTGGAGATTACTTTATCTTGGGGTCCTTTATTTGAAATGAAAGGTTGATCAAATAAACTTGTTCATAAATATGGTTTATTTGTGCAGAGGGTTTATATGAGCACATATGAGTGTATATGTTTGTGGAGGCTGTGGTGGTGATGGTGGTGGTTATTGCTATTTTTGTTAGGTGCCATTGAGTCATTTCTGACTCATAGCAACTCATTGTACAACAAAAAAATGCTGCCACCCGGTCCTGTGCCAGCCTCACAATTGTGTTTGTATTTGAGAAGGTTGTTGCAGCCACCTTGTCCATCCATCTTTCTGATGGCATTCCCCTTTGTATTACTAGGCTTGATGCTCTCTTCTAGGGACTGGTTTCTCTTGATGACATGTCCAAAGTACAAGAGAAAATGTCTTGCCAGGCTTGCTTACAAGGAGCATTCTGGTTGTACTTCTTTCAAGACAGATTTGTTTGTTCTTCTGCCAGCCCACGGTACTTTCAATGAAATACTAGACGTACTAGAAATATCTTGTTATTGTTTGCTGCCATTGAGTAGTTTCCAACAAATAATGAACCCATGTATAGCAGAACTGAACACTGCATGATCCTGCACCATCCTCACAATTGCTATAATTGAGCCCATTGTTGCAGCCACCTAGTCAATATCTTGTTAAGGGTCTTCCTTTTTTTCACTCTTTCTCTATCAAATATGATGATATTCGTCTCTAGAGACCGGTCTGTCTTGACAATATGCACAAAGAACCTGAGACAAAGTCTCACCATCTTTGCTTCTAAGGAGCATTCTGGCTACTCTTCTTCCAACACAGATTTGTTGGTTCTTTTGCTCGTCCATGCTATATTCTTCACCAGCAGAGGAATTCAAATGCATTGATTCTGCTGTGGACTTCTTTATTCAATATTCAACTTTCCTATTCAAATGAGGCAACTGAAAACACCATGCCTTGGTTCAGGCACATCTTAACCCTCAAAGTAACTGTCTTACTTTTCAACAATTTAAAAAGGTCTTGTGCAGCAAATTTACCAAATGCAATGCATCCTTTGAACTCTTGACTGCTACTTCCATGAACTTTGGTTGTGGATCCAAGAAAGATAAACTCTTTAAAAGCTTCAATCTTTCATCCATTTATCATGATGTTACGTTACCTATGAGTCCAATTAGAGGATTTGGGTTTTTTAAATACTGAGTTGTAATCTGTGTTAGACAGAGTTCTCTAGAGAAATAAAACCAGAATGCTAATAATTATATATTTATACAGATAGATGTATAACGTAAGAAATAAACAGTTAATTAAATTATAAAGCAGTACAAATGGCTCAGGGAAACTCACTCCTGTGAGACAGTTGTGAGACACTGGCAGTCCTTCAAGCCTTCAGGGCCACTGGGTAATCCTCTGTAGAGCAATACAAGCTATCCGGGCACAGGTAGCAAACAGCAAGGCAGGTCACCAACAGTCAGCCAGATGACAGGACCCGACAGTCCCCAGCTCCAGAGATGTAAATTCCAATGGTGTGGTGAAGCAGGTCTTGAAGGAACCTCAAATTACATCAACATAGTCCATGGGTTAGGTGTCCCACAGGTAGTGTAGCTTGCAAACTGAGGCAAAGAACAAGCAAGGCACCCGCACACTGGTCCGATGATCAAACAGCAAGAGAGGCGAGGCTCTCCGACCATGTAGCTTGCCGTCCTTCAATTAATCCCACACGTGTTTATCGGCCGGGTTGGCACAATAAACTAACTACCTCATAATCCATACTGAGGGCCAGAATCCTTGGTCTTCACCAGCCAATATTTCAAGTCCTCACTTTCACCAAGCAAGGTTGTGTCCTCTGCATACTGCAGGTTTTTAAGCCCCCTCCAATCCAGATGACAAATTCTTCTTCATATAATCCAGCTCTCTGATATTTGCTCAGCATGCATGTTGAATAAGTCTGGTGCGAGGATACAACTCTAACAAACACTTCTTGATTTTAAACAATGCAGCATCTCCTTGTTCTGTTTGCACAACTACCTCCAATTGTCAAAAATTATCATTATGTTCTTTTGTGTATGTTTGATCATTTTCAGACGGAATACCTTGATAGAATTCTTCAATTTCTTATTCACTACTTTTAGTGGCATACATTTGAATAATAGTTGTATTGATTAGATTTCTTTGAATGTGGATAGATACAATCCTATCATAGATTGCATTGTACTTTTAGATCTTGAAGTGTCTTTTATTAAGAGGAACCCCATTCCTCTTGATTTTTATCATTCCCAGGGTAGTAAACATATGGTTTTCTTATGCAAAATTGCCAATATCCATCTGTTTTAGCTCACTAACACTTAGGACATTGACATTAATGGGCCACATTTCATTTTTGACAACTTTCAGTTTTCCTAGATTCATATTTCGTACATTCTAAGTTCTCCTTATTAGATTTTTACAGCTGTTTCTTCTCATTTGAGTAATCCCCCACTAACAAATGAAGGTCCCAAAGGCTTCACTTCCATGGGCTTTCCCTCATCTGACTCATGAGTGACTCCACTTTGAGCAGCCAGCTCTTCCTCAGTTATGTTTGTACCTTCTGATCTGATGGGCTCATCTCCTGGCACTATCTTTGACAATGTTATGCTTCCATTAATTTTTCTCTCAGAATCTGAAAATGTTTCAGAGCTATGATCACAATTTTAAGCAGCTAATTCCTGTGAACTGGACAACTGATTTCTTTTTTTTTAAATCATTTTATTAGGGGCTCATACAACTCTTATCACAATCCATACCATACATACATCAATTGTGCAAAGCACATTTGTACACTCATTGCCCTCATCATTCTCAAAACATTTGCTCTCCACTTAAGGCCCTGGCATCAGGTCCTCATTTTTCCCCCCTCCCTCTCCACTACCCCCTGCTTCATGAGCCCTGGATAATTTAAAAATGATTATTTTGTCATATCTTACCCTGTCTGACGTCTCCCTTCACCCACTTTTCTGTTGTCTGTCCCCCAGG